GAATACCATGAGTAAACTCACATAGCGCTTGCACACGTACAAATACACTTCCTATTGTGGAAATACTGAGAAGAATACTCTGGCTGCAATATAACACTCATGACAGTTGAGTGGAAGAAACCCAAACTGGAGAGACAAAGTAAGAGTAGATTGTGAAAAGCTTTAATTGTTAGGCCAAAGAACTGACATTTTATTTGATAAGTAGTAGAGAGACCTTGAAGATTTTGAGTAGAAGGAGGAGCATTTCACATCCCCTTAGTGCTTTCCAGTTTTCAAAGTGCTTTCTTCATAGCAATCATCTTCACTTTGCAGAAGAGGGAACTGGGACTTAAATGAAATGACTTGCGCAAGGTGTCACAGCTGGAAAGGTTGAAGCTGTAATTCAAATCCAGTTGTCCTAAATCCAAGTCCAAGACTTTGTCCTATAATAGAGTGTCTCTGTTTTTGCTCTAGGGAAGTTAATCTTACAGTTGACAACCCTAATCTTTCCCCTTCACCACAGAGAAGAGGCTGAGAGATTCTCAAAATATTGCTCAAGGGGCCCAGATCCTTACAGAGGATGAAAAGGGGGAGGTGGGGAGGGAAGTCAAGGAGAGATTGCCCAAGAGCCAAGTGTTTTGAAAAAGGAAAGGGCTCTGGGGATCCAGTCTACAGCCTAAATACCCTGATGCTGGATGGGATTCCAATAGAATAAGAGGCGACAGCCTGCAAACTGAGAGCTCAGCCAGGTCACAGGGACCTCCCAGCCCCATCCCAATATTTCAGCAGTGCCTTTGGTGAGCTGGGGGCAATGGGAGTTCAGAAGAAGTGAAGGAGTTTCAGGGGGTAATTCCCTATATTTCCCCGAAGTCTGAAAAGGGAGGTGGTATGGACTGGAGAAGCTCTTTATCTGGAATTGAGGACTTTGCACAGTAAGTACTCAATGAAGAGGGCCACAGCCCTCCTTAGGTCATAGCTATGTGTCCTTTTCCTTATCTGAGACTCAGTTTCCTTATCTCTGTAATGAGGGTATTGGAGGTATTCATTTTTAAGGTTATTTCCAAATTTTTAAATTCTCTGACTAGGAAGGAGTAACCATGAATTTATGACCCAAATTACAGCCAAGAAGCACCAGGGAGTTTTGTATTCAAATACTTTATGCTGCCTTGGATAGCTGGAGATGGTTGATCTCAAGGTCACCTTCTCCTCTTATATGGGGCTAAGAAGCCACATTCCTTGTGTGAAGGATGGTTGAAAACCAGGGTTTGGGGAGAGACTGGATAGAATGGTGAGGTTTCTGTGAGCTGTCAAGGCAATAAGATTTCTATTTTCCTAAATATTATTCTCATCTCCCCATTTCTTTTCTACTATGATTTCTAGAATTCCCCTGTGATCCTTCCTGTACTCCCTGGGGACTGATCCCCCAGGGATGCCAGGGAAGCTCCCATCACTAAATTCAGGATCTTAGACATAACGATGGACCGAAAGGGCTGGAAGTGAAGGAGGGATCATTAGAGAAGATGAGGCATAGCAGCAATGCCTAGTTTGTGACAGTGTGCCTCAGTTTGTCTGTGTATTAGCCCAGGTGATAAGTGTGACAGGTTTGATGATAACAGTCTGATTAATGTAGGAGTAAGTCAATCAACATTCTTAGGGATGATCCAAAGTCATGAGGTCTGGGGTGGTGCAGAATGGATCAGAGAAGGCCTTTTCTAGCCAAGGGTGGGCATATAGTAGGGAGCAGGTCCCAAGAAGCTATGACTAAATGACTTTGGAGTAGTCCTTTTCCTGCTCTGTGCCTCAGTTTCCCAGTTTATAAAACTAAGATGTTGAGGATAAAATCCTTTAATATTCCTTAGAGTCTTTTTTTTTTTTGAGGCAATTGGAATTAAATGATTTGCTCAGGGTCACACAGCTAGTAAGTGACAAGTGTCAAGTCTGAGACTGGATTTGAACTCAGGTCCTCCTGACTCCAGGGCCACATAATTGCCCTCCCCCCATTCCTCAAAGTCTTAGAAGCTTACTTTATTTGAGGAGTAAGAGAGGAGGTAGCAGTGGAGATCTAGCATTAGGGTCAGAATACCTATTTTAAGTCCCCAATTTCTCATTTAGTTCCTCTGTGATTTTAGGCAAATCACTAAATGAGAAATTGGGGACTTAAAATAGGTATTCTGACCCTAATGCTAGATCTCCACTGCTACCTCCTCTCTTACTCCTCAAATAAAGTAAGCTTCTAAGACTTTGAGGAATGGGGGGAGGGCAATTATGTGGCCCTGGAGTCAGGAGGACCTGAGTTCCTATATGTAAATGACATAATACATGTACCACTTACCACAAATGGATATTGTAAAGAACGTGGTCTGTAAGTCTTAAGCTGAAAAACACAGTGTTGTTGGTTAGCTTGTATACCTTGTGCCCAGTCTTAGGCTTAGTGGTTGAGTGATTCTCAGCAGAGCTGCTACTATTCCAGATGGAGGGAGGGGGAAAGAAGCAATGAGGAGACTGAGATGAAGGATGGAAGTGGGAGGCAAAAGGAGGGCAGAAGGGCATACAGAAAGGGAATATGGAAAGTTTTCTTACAAAACTCTGTCTTTAGAGAATGAAGATTGCTGAGGTTTACAAAGCACTTAACAAATACTATCTTATTTTATCCTCATTTAACCCTAGAATGTAACTGCTATTATTATCTCCACTTTACAGATGAGAAGATTGAGGCAGATAAAGGTTAAAAGATTTATGCAGGGTCATACAGCAATAAGTGTCTGAGACTGGCTTTGAACTCAGGTCTTCCTGTCTCCAGGTCTAGTGCTGTACCCAATTATGTCACCTAGATGCTCCTATTTCTCAATGAAGACTCATTTCCATTGTCTGGTGCCCAAGCTTTACATAACTCCAGGAAAGCTATGGAGCTAGAACACTGGGTGAGGTGAAATGTAATATGTAACATCATACAATTGGGCTCACCAAATCAATTTTACAATATAGGATAAGAAAGGTTTGTCTAAAAGCCAGTTCATCTGTAAGAAAGATCTTGCAGTTTTGAAGGACGGCAAGCTCAGTATGTGTCCACAGTGGGACTTGGTGATCAAGAAGGCTAATATGATGCTAAGAGAGGCTGAACATCCAGAAACGAGGAGGCAAGAGTACATCCACTGCCTGCATCAGACCACATCCAGAGCGGTGTCCAGTTCTAGGCACTCCATTTTAGGAAGGGCATTGATCACCTGTATAGCTCTCAGCAGAGGGCAACCATGATGCTGACAGGTCTTGTGTCCATGTTATATGAGGATCAGTCAGAGGACTGGAGGTGTTTAGCCTAGAGAAAAGTTAGGGGAGATAAGGTCTAGATAATGGTCTAGAAACCACTGAAGAATGGTCAAGGAGAAGAGGCATCAGAATTGTTCTGTTTGCCTACAGATGGTAGAAGTAGTAGTGACGTGTTGCCAATACTAAGATGAACATTTAAATTTGATGTGAGAGAAAGAAAAACAACTTATTAAATAGAATTGTCTCAAAGTAGAATGAGCTCCCTTGGGAAACAGTGGTCTTAAAGGCAAGACTGGATGCCTTTAAGCCGAGTCTGGATGGGTATGTTGTAGAGAGGATCTTTTTCTTCCTGGCATAGGTAGTCTTTGAGTTCTCTTCTACTTCTTTAATCTGATGATGCTGTGAGTTCACCTGAAGAGGTAACACGTGTATTCCCCTCGAAATCTATAGGGATCTGATTAAGGCTTGCTGTGCTAGAGAGGTAGGTGACCTACATTTTAGTGAGATTATGGTCATGATTCACAGATACCCTTGTACTTAGACAATCAGAAGGTATCAAGGCTGAAAGAAAGTGTCATTTCTTCCTCTCCACCAGAGACACAGATTTTAATCCACGAAGTGATGCGACCTGCCCAGCACCAGGGGATCAGAATTAAAGTTCCTGAAGTGGGTGGAAGCCAAAGAGAGAACTATGAGAGAGGTAGAATCTGTAGTTAAGAAATAAAAGATGAGGGCTATGTAGGAGCCAGGGAAGATGACAGACTGAAAGAATTAAGAGGTGAGAAGACATGAGATATTAGGATGGGGTTAATAGACATTTATGTAATGTTAAAGTTCTTAACTTGGAGCCTGTGAACTTAAAAAAAATATTTTGATAACTATATTTTAATACTGTTGGTTTCCTTTGTAGCCCTATATAATTTTTGTGCATTTATAAATATTATTTTGAGAAGGGGTCCACAGGCTTAACTAGATTTCAAAAAGACGGAAAAAAAGATTAGTAACACCAATATAGACTGAAGGAGAAAACCAGAAATGAGTTGTCCCCTAAAATGGACCTGGTCATTCATTTAAGGTGGAGGACCTGTGAACCTGGCTTGGCCACTTAGAATCTGTGTGACTCTGAGTAAGTCACTTAACCTCACTGAGACTCAGTTACCTTATTTGTAGAATGAGAAGGTTGGGCTTATTGTGCTACAAGCTTTAAACAATTGATCCTATGATATCTTAGCCTAAATGGTAAATAATCTGTCTATAAATTGTGTGATTTGTAGTAATTTAATGGTTTCCCTCACCGATGCAGGTCTCAGAGCATGCTGCTAACATGACAACTTGCAGGGAGAAAATGAAAAATAAAAGGGAGACCTATGTTCCTGGGACAATAGGTATAACTGGATGCATGTATTGAGAGCCATGGACTATAATTAAGCAGAAAGGCAAGTCAGCTCTGTTAATAGAAGGACTACAAAGAACAGCCAAGGGAGGAGACGATGGGAAAAATGGTACCTATCAGAGTCTAAAGCTGAGGAATTCTGCTAAAGTTAAGGAGCCAAAGTGCAAGGAGAGCCATGGAATCATTTCCTTTAATACTTGGTCCAAACTCAAACTGTATTCTGAAATCTTAGCTCTTTTTCTTCTAGAAGCTTGAACAATTTCACCCTGGGAAGGACTGACACCCTGTGTATTCCTAGATAAGACATGATGGCTCTTGCTTATTAACCAACCCTCACTGAGTCTTAGACCCATACACCATTATGTGGTCTAATACCAGTTTCTCTCCCTTCCTTCTGACTGGATTCCCAGGCCTGGAGGCAGTTCATCACTGGATCTCCATACCCTTCTTTGTTGTATACTTTTCTGTGATTCTTGGCAATGGCACCCTCCTCTTTCTAATCAAGGATGACCATGGCCTCCATGAGCCCATGTACTACTTCCTGGCCATGCTGGCAGCCACAGACCTTTCAGTGACCCTAACCACAATACCCACAGTGCTGGGGGTTCTGTGGCTAGGTCAGAGGGAGATTCAACTTCAAGTCTGTTTCTCCCAGGCCTACTTCATCCATTCTCTCTCTATAGTGGAATCAGGGGTCTTACTTGCCATGGCCTATGACCGTTTCATTGCCATTTGTAACCCACTAAGATACAGGTCTATCCTTACCAACTCCAGGGTGGTGAAAATTGGGATTGGGGCATTGCTGAGGGGCTGCATCTTAGTAGCACCCCCAATTGTCCCACTACATTGGTTCCCTTACTGTCATTCCCATGTCCTCTCCCATGCCTTCTGCCTCCACCAGGATGTCATCAAACTAGCCTGTGCAGATATCACTTTCAATCGCATCTATCCTATGGTTCTGGTTCCATTTACCTTCTTCCTGGACTCTCTGATCATCCTTTTCTCCTATATACTAATTCTGAAAACAGTTATGTGCATTGCCGCTAGACAGGAGCGGACCAAGGCCCTAAACACCTGCATCTCCCACATTTGTTGTGTCTTAGTTTTCTATGTCACAGTGATTGGTTTGTCTCTCATTCATCGATTTGGGAAACATGCCCCACATGTGGTCCACATCACTATGAGTTATGTCTATTTCCTCTTTCCCCCATTTATGAACCCAATCATCTACAGTGTGAAGACTAAACAGATCAGGAATGGTATCCTCCACAAGTTCTCTCTGCCCAGATTCAGGGCTTAGCCTTTGTTCAGTGGTACACCTCCTGGGGTATGGACTTCTGAGAACTGAATGTCATGGCACTTGCAGTGGACTGGCACAGGAATCTATTCACCTTAGACTGCATAGTCATTGAAAAGACCCCGTAGGCATCGTTTTGAACTTCATTTAGGGATCAATAAGTCCATTCCCACATTCTGAATGCATGAAATAAAACATATCAGTTGTGGACTTAGATCTGTAATATCTTCAATCATTTGATATCTGGGAGGAAATAGGAAACAGAAGATCCAAGTGTAAATATGTTGGACTATAATGGAGCAACCTGGATGACAATTAGACAATAAGATCCTCCCATTCTCCCAAATTGTGCCTCCTACACACCTCCATCCATCTCCCAGACATTTAAACAGTGCTATATCAACATTCCCTTGTGGCCATATGAGAGGTGGAATGGGCATGGATGATCACATTTAGTGGAATTCAGGGGAGAATCCAATTATCTCCTCTAGGTTGGGCGGATCTTTAACTATACTCTCTCTCTTTGATTCCTTTTCAGCCTCAGTCACCCACATTCCAACCCAAGACACTGATTCCATACTTTTCAGAACCCACCAAGCCTTAAGGTAGGGAAAGTATTGGCTTTTAGAGCACAGATTGGAGTCTGAATCCTGACCACTGTTCTATATCTCTTTGCCTAGCCTTATTCCCTTCCCATCTCCCTCAATACCTAGGATTAATGACAACCACATCAATAGGGTGTTCAAATCTATGTAGCACCTGGGAAAGAGGAGGATACATCTGCCCCAAGGTCTGGGCCTGTGTCTTTTTCACTGTACCAGAAGCTTCCAAGAGGAAGGGCCCTACATCTCCTCATCGTGGGGCAAGACCTTCAGATCAATTTCTGTCCAATTTCCCCAAAGTGCTTGGTAGAGGGTTTTACATGCAGAAGATTCTCAATTATTGGTTTTTTTTCCCCCTACTGTTTCTAAACTTCTCTGAGTCTGTAAAACATTTAGGACATTACTGAAGAATTCATGTGTGTTAGGGGAGTTTGAAGGTGGAGGGGAGGGGGTTTGGATTCCCAATTCCCTTTCAGAAGCCCACCATTAAAAAATTCTTCAAGTTGAAATAAGATTTAACTATTAGAGCTAGTAGCAACAAAAATAAAAATTCTTTTTAGGTCCTTAAAATTAAGAAGTTACAAGTCCATTATCTCATTTCAATAATAAACAATATTTTGTTAAATTACTGTTCTGAATATTGTTCTGAGTTTGCTGTTAATTGGAAACACCTGGTATCTGACCTTAAGAAGAAATCTAGTCTAGTGAAGGGGAGGAGATACACACACACACACACACACACACAGATATTTGTAGCATAGAACATCAAAACATGAGTGTACAATGAAGGAACAAAGTGCTATGAGAATTCTGCTTAGCAGAACATTCGAGCATACAGTTAGCACTAAGTAAATGGTTATTGACTGAATAAGTTCATACAAGATAGCCTCATTTACTTTTTTTTTTTACAAGAATACTGTACCAGGAGATTGGAAGTGATCTGTTAACTATTATATACTATTTTAAATAACTAATAATTTACATTTACCTAGCATGTTAATATTTACAGAAGGTTTTCTCACATCAAAGTTATAAGAAATAGTGCAGGGATTATTATCTTCATGTTTACAGATGAGGAAACTGAAATTAAGTGATTTTCCAATGGTCATACATGTACAGTAGTAATTCTAGGTTGGTATCTAAACCCAAAACTTTGGAATCCAAGTCCAGCATCCTATCCATCATGTCTTGACACCTCTGATATAGTCAAAGCATTTGACAACCTCTTTCATGCTATTATTATGATGAGTTGGAGTATAATTAAGTGGGCTTGAAGAATGAAATACTTGGTCCCTAAGTAGAGGAACAGAATCACAGAATTTTCAGATTTGAAGGATACTATTATCACCATTTAATCTAGGGTTTCTTAACATTTTTTGTGTCATGAACCCATGTGGCCATCTGGTAAAGCCTTTGGGCCCCCTTCACAGAATCATGTTGTTGCTGTTTTTTTAATTTATGATTTGAAGAAATGTCAAATTTCATTTAGAGGACAGTAAAAATAAAGATAAAACTTTTTTTCCCATTCAAATTCTCAGACCCAGGGTTTGAGGGGAAGATGTCTATGAACCCCAGATTAGCAATTCCTGGTAGAGGGTTTTACATATATCCTAAAGAGGATAATGATGGCACCTACCTCTCAGGGTTGTTATGAGGATGAAAGGAGATAATAACTTTAAAGTGCTTAGCACAGTGCCTGACACAGTAAATGCTATATAAATGTTGTTGTGACTCCAATTCATACCTGAAAAAAATTCCTCTATTTGGTAAGTAGTAACAATTACTTTGCTTAAAGACTTCAAGTGAAGGGGAATCCAATGCCTCTCTAGGAAGTATGTTATACTTTCAGACGATTTTAATAGTTAAGAAGGTAGGGTGTGTGTGTGTGTGTGTGTGTGTGTGTGTGTGTGTGTGTGTGTGAACCTGTTTTCCTCTACAAAACGTCCACTCATTGCTTCTGTTTTCTGTCATGTGGGGTCAAACAGAAAGTGTAATTCTTCTCCTCCAAATGATTACCCTTTAAATACTTTAACATAGTAATTATCCTCTTCCTCCCTTCATTCTTGTATTTTTGGTCTCAGATAAACATCCCCAGTTTTTTTCAATGAAACCTCTTATGATGTAGACTTAAGGTTGCTTAGTACTAGTTATTCTCTAGTTAATCAAAGTATTTCCTGAATCATGATGTCCAAATACTCTTGATGTGGTCTGACCAGGGAAGATCATGGTGGGACAATCACTTCCTTATTCCTCAATTTTTCTTCCTCTCTTAATGGAGATATTTAGCTTTCCTACTAGAATCACATTTCCTTTCTTAACTGACATTGCCTTGTTGATACAGATTGAGTTCACTGTCATCCCCAGATTTTTATTTTTTCAAAGATGAACTGTAATCTAACCAAAATATTGTACTTTGTAGGTTTATTTTTTGAAGCCAAATATAACATTTATGCCTTAAATTTCACTTTAAACTGTCATTCTTTCTAACAGAGTGTTAATCATCTTTTTTCAGCTTTGCATCATTTACAAATTTTATGAGTATGTCATCTATGCCTTTATCCAAGTAACTGATAAAATATTCAATAACACAGGGTCAAACATAGATTTGGGGTGGGGGAGGGGCTCCATTGGAAATCTCCCTTCTAAGATAATTTCAAGTAAGTAATGATGATTCATTTATGTGGCCATTCAACAAGTTTTGAAACCATCTAACTTTATGATTGTCCAAATCATACTCTCCTATATTTTCCACAAGAATAATCCAAGACACTTAAAAATTAATAAACTTGTATAGCAACAAAATAACACATTTCCTACATATTTCTCACTTATTTACAAATATATACACCATAAGTGGGGAAAATGGGCACAAATTGGGAAGAGAACAAGATAGATGAGCTTCCTATCTCTCACAAGCTGATTTTCCTGTAAAATTTTAGTTATTGAGCTTCTACCTATCATTGTTCTAAACTTGAAATCTTATTTATGATGAAAATACTACTAATTTTGAGCCTATTTTTTAATTGATTCTATTCCATATCACCCCTAATATGTTGTAAAATTACCTAAGCCATGTTTCTTTGTCTCTGAGTTTAAGTTCAGGAGTTGAGCTATCCTCTCTGAGCTAAATTGTTCCATAAATCACCTTTAGTCAAAGACACATACTTTTATACATTTTACTGCCCACATACAATTAAGAGAGATCTGTTATCTCCTTAACAAGCCTTGCAAGATGCAATGGGCCTCAGAAAGTTCTTAACTTCTTCTTAACTCTGTAATGCTGGCTGTCCTTCAAGAAAGTCTGATCCGTTGTCGTTGACTGTAACTAGCCATATAGGTGGACATCACCAATGAGCTTTCCATAGAAAGAAGATGAAAGGAGGGGTTATTGATAGTACTGCATTTCTGACTTCCACCTGATTATATTGTTTTCCATCATCTATGGTACTTTAGACTTTGTAACCAATCATATTATTTTCCATCTGTGATACTTTTTGGTTTTTTGTTCTCTTGTACTTCCCAGTAAGCTGGAATTGTTGAAGAACAAAGAACTGGAGAACATTCAGAAGAAGGAAATCAGAACAGCCTCATATTTGTGCCAAAGTGTTCAAGGAACTGGGACATTTAGCCTAAAGCATAAAAGACAGGATTCAACTCAAAAGCAGTCTTCAAATTTTTGAAAGCTAGTCATAAGGAAGAGAGATTAGACTTTTTCTATTTAATCTCAGAGAGGAGAATTAGGGTCATTGATGGAAGTCACTGAGGCAAATTTAGGCCTGAAGTAAGAATAAACTTACTAATTAAATGGGGCTGGAAAAAAGGGGAATGAACTACTACTAGGGTTCTCCAAGTGTTGCTGGATGACAGTCAATCTCATTGGTTTAGTTTTCTTCCAATGTCATTTTCAACTCATATTCTGTGAATTTATTGCAGTGGTCTAGGTAAATGGTGCTAAGGACCTAAAATTCCCACCTCCCTCTATCCCCCATCCAATGCTCACCAAAAAGGATCCCGAGTACCATCCTTCTTTAGGAAGTCTTTCTATATTTTTCTGAATAATGTTTTATTATTTTCCAAATTACATGAAAAAATAATTTTTAACATTTGCTTTTTTAAAAAAAATTTGAGTTCCAAATTCTCTCCCTCCCTTTCTCCCTCCCCTTTCATATCCCTGAGACAGTAAGCAATTTTATATAGATTATATATATGCAATTAGGCAAAACATATTTCCATAATAGTTGTGGTGTGAAAGAAAACACAAACCAAAAAAAAACCACCACGAGAAAAATAAAGAAAGTGAAAAGTTATATGTTTCGATCTGCATTCAGACTCCATTAATTCTTTCTCTGAAGGTGGATAGCATTTTTCATCGTGAGTCCTTTGGAATTGTCTTGGATCATT